CTTCCTCTCTGTGAAGCCTGAAGTCAACTAAAGGACTAATTGATAACTATCAAAAGGCCGGTCATTTAATATAAATAAATAAATATAAATTAAATACCCGAGAAACACGAGCAATCTCATGTTGATGTGATATAGACTTGATGTGTGGTTATAAATAATGTGAACTTCTTTCCAACCAATCATTTCCGAAAGTGAATAAACAGCAGGCGACTGAAACGAACAAGTACAATTGATCCACCTTCAAGCTCTTAGAGCAACCCAATTGGATCGATAGGCCATGAAGCGCCAGGAAATATATAATTCATCACCATTCCAACTGACTAGTGGAAGCGCAACCACAGAACGTGATTGAGATTGATCTGGCCACAGTCAATATTCATCTGGCTAGTGATTTCATTAGCGCCACACTCACAGAATGAGTACAAACTAAATCCGTCTTGATAAGTCCGCCGTACGCGCAAAATAACACAAAACAAGTAAAGAATATAAAATAAAATGAAATATATCATCTTCTTAATTAGCCCTCGTATAAAGTCATTTTGGATAATGAAAAATCGGAACATTTTTTTCCATGAATCATAACGCAACGTGCAAAAAATACGTAGGTAAAGATCAAGTGCAAGCCAAGTATCATAAAAAAATAAAGAAATGATAAAGAGCAACGACAACATACCTCTAGCAGGTTGGAAGAATTCTTTGAAAAAGTTGGAATTTTAGATGCTGTCGACACAAGTCTGGAGGGCGAGAAGTTATTCATCGAGTTGCCATTTCGTCTTGTCATATCTAAATATCGAAGAAACAATAAATAGCAGTGTGATTATAAATAAATAACTATCAAAAATTCTATTACTAACCACTAGGAGCTGGGTTTGAAACCTGATCAGGCACCATATGCAGAACCTTCGTGAGCTGAGAAATCCACTCATTCATTTCTTCAGGAGTATTTGCGGAGAAGAGATAATCTCGTCTTTTGCCTCGATAAGTTGTTTGCACAACAAAAACATTTGGAAGTTGATTTCCCACCTTCTGTTCATAAATACAATCACAGGAGTTTAGATCGACACTGCCTAGAAAAATAAAAACGGAATAATTTATAGTCAAAAATTGGCATTAAATATATAAAATTAATAAACAATAAAAAATTACCTCTGGGATTTTTATCAGATGCCTTGTTGTAATACTCAAAGAATATTTGAGTTTCTGTTGCATTTCTAACCTTGTAAAAGATACAAAACCGTTTTTTCCATCTCTATAAGAATAATAATTAGATTAGCAAAAAACATTGACATTTATGTCACTAATCATTTGAACTACTATTTACCGGTTCCAGAAGAACATTACATCCTGTGCAAAAAATCTAAAGTGAATGAAATTAATAATGTTTCACTTCGTACATTTAATCCCTGCTTTTTAGTACTTTGCAATGATGAAGGAGCCTTGCGAAGATATCCATTGACCAAAACCTCACGTCTTAAAAGTAATTAGAAAAAAACAACGAACCCAATAGGCTTCCACTCGCTCATAACATCAAGTAACAGAAATGAAAAGTGCTGCGGTTGTATGACCTTCAATATACACAAGGTACTTATCCAATGAAAATTTTGATGGAATGACTACCAATCATTGAGCTCTAAATAAAAAGCAATATCATCATCGTTATAATTAGATGATTGGCAAGTAAAATGCTTTCAGAGACACATTAATTCACATTGTCACTTCAACTGCGATAACACAAGATTACTTAAAGCAAATAGTTGAGTGCAACGAATGAATAAATCTCGACACTTCCAAAACAAAATAAGGACTGAATAAATAAAGTAAATAAATATATTTTAAATTCTGCCGAGCGAAATAGAGAGATATTTAATCAATTATCGATCGCAAGTCTGCTGGAGATTGAATTTAAATATTTAAATTAAAGTGAACCCACCAGAATGAAAACTTGCACACAAATATATACTGATAGCAAATTCTCTCATAAATAATGCAAAATGTGAACCCAGAGAATGGTTTATGCCAAAATATGTGTTATAAAATTATATTTCAGAAAAATTAAGTTGGAATGCATTGATTTATATGTCGTTTTAGGCTATATATGTGAAGTAACTAACACGATCTTTGTGGTGTGGTCGTGCAACTTGTCACGTTGGGAGCAATTGGAGTCGTAAGTACAGAGACATCTCAGCCAGCCTTCGTTTAATAGTCCCTGCATCATCATGTATTTTATTGACTAAGATCTGTGACAAACAATCATGCCACACCCTACTCTTGTTTCCGCTATATAATTGAGGTATCATGATATTGAGATCACTGAGGATACGTCAAGGCATGCTCGTGAAGCAATTCGCACTAGTTTACAAATTATTTTGATGCCGTAATTATTCTTAAAAGTGAAAAAAACATTAAATTAACTAACAATGAAAATGCTAACAGATTATCTACTGTCTTTTTTACCAATTGATCAGAACAACTATAGATATCCTAATTAAGATCGAAAACGATGAGTTGTAAAATCGTTTTTGTTGAATGTTAAAGGGAGAAAAAAACTGGCTTGTTTTGCTTAAATTTTGACCATTTATTCAATTATTACTGGCTTGTTCAATCTTCAACTTGAATTTTCCCTGTAATTTTGATGATTCGAACATCTGAATCGAACGGATCTCATTTATTATTAGTTTTAATTTCGATTTATTTATGACAGTCATCTGCAGTAAAAGTTATGCAGTTTTGTTTTGAGTAGTATATGAAATACGCTCTTCATAAAACTAATTTAAAATGGCGAATTTTGGTAAAATCAAATCACCCATATATTGAAGTATGTTTTTGATTTAATTATTACTACGTCTTAGACAATTTATGTCTATAGCAATGAACCGAGTTAAACTGTTTTAAGCCATTTACATTGGACTTGGGTTGCGCAACAGACTTACCTCCATGTGGTTCACCCTGGGCGACGTAAACTTATACAGCAAAAAGTCCGCAAGCCGACAGTAGACTTCTGACCTCGAACTACCATTACCCGATTGTATGTCGTATTCGACCACTTCCACAGTACTCATTTTACCCTTTTCTCACTACCTTTTCCTTTACATCTGTGAATCACACTTTTGTTTCCCCTCTCGACTTTTTTCATTTTGGTGCTCCTTCCCTCTGTAAAGCAAGAAGTCAATTAAAGGTTCTATTAATAAATATCATAAAGCCTGCTACTTGATACAAATATTTAGATTAAATATTATTCCATTGTCATATTTTGGCAGATATCAATTTCGTATTATGAGTTCCGTAGTATTGTAGGTATTGCTACTTCCTTCGTTGAAAATATTTTCTGAATTACAATTTCTCAATGTTCTAAAGTTTTGTTTCTGTCTATACATTTTTAGGAGTTATATATGCTTTTGTAGGTGACAAAATTGAAATATTTCACAATTCTTAATATTTCGATGTAATCCAGTCCATGCATGATTGAGAAATCAGGACATTTGGAAAGTTCCTTTCATTTGCAATCCCAAAAGCGGTGACAATGGGGAAATCTGTTATTAAAGCATGATTTAATCGTAATCAAAACTAAATAGTTTTCCATTAGACATCTTGTTTACTTATGACTTACTTCTAACAACTTATTTCTCTTATTCTAAAAGTTGAGATATTTGGTTACTAAACGAGCTGTATTAACGTTTTAAATACTAAGCAAATTATTACCTTCGAAGAGGCATTATCTTGAAATAAGAATGAACTCGGATGCCTCTAGAAAAGAAGTATTCCAAGAAAAAGCAAAACTAACCACTCTTTATGCCAATTTACCGACTAAAATTAATATTTTCGTACAATTCTTAATGCACATATCATAATTAGAATAAAAATCGATAATAATTTTAATAATAATTTGATAACGAATTTATGTCATCTAAAATGAATTTTTAAGTTTAAAATGGGGAATAATTGTAATTTATATTTTATTATATATATATATATATGTTAGTTTATTAGGGATTTAAACAAGAATAATTCATCCTTGAAATTATCAAGGGGCACATTTAATCTTTTTATGGGGCGCAGTTTATGATATTGCCACTATCGGTTGTACTTATCTGCACAAACTGCGTGAATTCTGAGCGGGTGTATGTTACATTTTTAATTCATTTTGTAGTCTATTTGCCCTTAAATCTTATTATTGTTACTATCATGGAATTATTGTCAATATTTTTTAGGCAATTGCTTAGTTGTTAATTCTATAAAATAACCATTGATATCACAAAATTCGCCTATAAAAACATTTTAACGCAACACACTTCTTAATTTGTGCTTATCTTGGTCATAGTTTTTATTTTGAATCTTTCTTATTTCTCTTTCACTTTGGTCTAAATATGTTGTTTTTATTTATGCATTGGTAATACAACTGAAAACCGTAATTTACTTTTGTTTTAGTTAATATGACGGAGGAATTAAAGCCTCTTCCTCATCATAGAAAAGTTGGTCCTTGTTTAACACGCCCTCCTTATAGAAATGGCAAGCGTAATAAAGCTGTGAAGGTATTTCTTTAACTTGGTTTATTCATGCTTTTAGGTCTTTACAATTGCCGATGAGTCCATGTACCTACTTATTTTTGGGGTTCCATCCATTGATTTATCGAATCTCCTTACTGAAAAAATCCAACAAATATCTCCTGTTCAAAGCATTCGAAAGATAGACTATCCAGATCCTGAGGCCTTCACCGATACATACCTTCTAAAATTCGCTACTATTAATTTTGCTCGGTATTATTATTTTAAACTCCTACTTAAAATTATAAGTAGTGAAATATTGACAGCAGGTGTCTAATCTTTCTTTAGCAATGTTAAAAGGCGCCTCGATGATACTTCGTTCTATGGAGGTATTCTACACATTGCATATGCTCCCGAATACGAGTCTGTATCAGAATGTCGGAACAAAATGCACACATATCGCCAAATCAACGATACAATTGCTAAAAAAGCTGGTGAGTTCATTTTAGTTTATTTATTTCCTTATTTAGGACTTTTTTAATGTAGTTTGTAATTTTATTAAATTGACGGATTTTTGAAGAGTAGGGAAGAAGATAATGAATGCAGCAATGCCATTTCTCACTCAATTTTTCATAAACCTTCACACACCTATTGTTTTTAACGAATTAATTAATCTTCACTATGTTCTTATTTCATGTTTCCATTTTACTCTTGGTTAGCTATTGAAAAGCATCGCGAGATTACAGATTATAATCGACGTTCCGAAGAGTCCCTCCTAATTCCCGATGTTCAGCCGCCATCCAAATTCATCAGTACTCCATCGTCGTCATTGGCAACCGGCCTGAATGTGGAAACAACTGCACTCAGCAATCCCTACTCAACGCCTCTACCCATTCCTCTATCTTCTCAGTCGAATGCACAGCAGATTGGCGACGCAAACAAAACTCAACATTCTCACAGGTAAGTGCCATCGGTCGAAGAGTATTTAAATTATAGATTTGCATCTTGACTCTTCCATGTATTGCCATTCGCTTAGCCCTATTTGTAACTTTTTACAAAAAATAGCTTCTCTTCGATACGGCAACAATAACTTCCTGGATTTTTATGTTTAACTTAATTTGTGCTGAAAGTAAAACACACTATATTATATAGGCTATTTTGTCGAATGGCTGTCTTTTTCCTCATCATAGTTTCAAATCCTAACTTTCCAATAGTTTTCATTTTAATTTTAAAAAAAACTATTTTGGTCTTTAAAATGTCTTCTTATTCATATTTTTGACGTTAATATTTGGTTTTAGTAATATGTGTTATTGTTGTAGCCCCTATGAGTAGTTTATTGCGATGACTTGACCTCCGACAAACGTCAATAGCAGCTATTGGCGTCTTCATAACAGCTGCACTACCAATAAAGATGAACTTAGTGTGCTGGATCATTAGTTTTTCTGACTATTCTTATTTCCAAACCATTGATTATTGAAAAGCGTTCAATTCCCCGTGAATTTTTTCTTTTATCCGCTAGTTCTTGAGGAGGAACTTCGTTCGAATCATTTACTTTATATATATATATATATATATATATATATATATAGTTTGATGTGGGCGTATATTTTGAAAATTTTTCCCATTGACTGCAGGCTCTTCGTGTGCGTTTTAATATTCATCTAATTTCCCACCTTTAATGTCCAAATGTGAATCGAGGAGGTTTCTTTTACCATGATCTTCGCGAATGGTTAAACAATTTAGGATCTCTAAGTGCTATCTTACTTGACTCTCCTTTCATGGACTTTGTTCCTCAGTTAATGTTTTTGCCGTAAATGCTACTCATAATTGGAACTTTTGAGACCATAACCATAAGGATGTCATAAGTTGCCTTGGATACTCAGTTTTAAGTGTATATCACTCTATTCACAGCTTATTCATTGCATTGCTGTGTACAAATAGTTAGAGAATGTCATAATGGTAATGAATCATAGGTTCTTTTCGATAATTTTCCTTTTTCCAAACGCACCATCGGACATTGGCTTAAATTGTCGGATACATATGCACATTGATCATATCACCGTAAAGGCTTTTTTGCCTTCATTCTGTTTCCGTCATTCATTTATGTTCATATCGTTCTTTAAATTGGCCAGCATTAAGTCAATGGATAACGGACACTAATTTAATTTCTTTTCCCAATTTGGTTATCTCAAACGAGAAAACAACCTTTCAGTCTTACTTTACTTGATATCGATGATTCGATTGAAAGCTCCGATCTGTTTCTTCAGTATTTCGAGGAGTCGACGAAATTAGCTAAAGAAAACAAAGGTGTTTGTGTGCTTGCACACGACGTTTAGTAATTATTTCATTTCCTCGTTTTCTGATGTTATTTTAAAAACAGGATATTATATGTTTTTTTACCCAATAAACACTTCTTCTCAAAGATGGTGCTTAATTGCGATCGTAGTTCCATAATGCCGTAACTTCTATTATTAGCTCCATTTACCCCGAGGTTGAATTCATTGTCCAATCTATTTCACGCGCATGTTGTGGTCTGACCGATGGTGGGCACGGGGAATGAGAAGTGGTTGAGTTTGTCCTTTGGATCCCACGCCTCTCGCACGATTAAATTCTTCCCCTTGTTCTGCTCCAACAGAGCGCGAGGTATAGAAAATGTCTCACTCACTTTCATTCTCCTTTCTTTCTCACGAGACTCTCTTCATTGAACGGCTGTTTTTTGTTGATCGATGTAGCTTAAAGCCCACTTTCAATGCTTTGAAGACAACTTTACTCCCCCATAATTATGCCCAGGAGAGGATGAATATTTGGCAGGTATTGGCTATAAATTTGCAAATAAAATATGGGTGGATGAGTTATGACTATAGTTAGATTCTTCTCAATCGAAATATATGTTCAGTTGTAAAAAAATAGATTACTGCTTTTTGTCCGATCTTGGTGTTTTAAATCATCTAGCTTTGACTCTGCTAATCTGTCTGTCTTGAACATGTTAGCTTTTACAACCTACTTTTACTTCTCTTCCTATTTCTATTTATATTCCTACACTTGCATTTCTTGTGTTTGGTCAAGCCTTGAATTTGATTTGGAAGCTGAGAGTGGTTTTGTGTTTGATGATTGGAGATGAGCAGATTTTTCATCACTCTAATATTATGGATGCTTTGTTTATCTATTCCATGCAGGTGGAGTTGTGAGGAGTCCAGTTTAGGCCTAGTATTAAAAATTTTCTGCTTAGTGCCTAATATTCCTGATTAATTGATCATATGTGTTTTGATTAAATATTGAGATCTTTCGTTAAATGTTGATCGACTTGATTGGTATTAATATTGCTCTGTATTGATCAACGGAGGTCTATCGAGTTTTTTAATAGGATAGGTATTTGCCTCAAATTAGCTTGCTTCAGACCAAATAAATAAATTGTAATTTATACTTAAATACCCAGAAACCTTCCTTATCTGTTTTCCTCGAATTAAAGTTTACTTGTTCTATCTCCATACTCAAATTGTCATTCCAAATTCGGATGTGTTTGGTAATGAGAAATAAATGCAACCTCCCCTCCACTTTACAATTGTCTCCGCTTTTTCACCCTTCTATCACCTAGGCAACACACTGCTTCTATCTTCATTTAAACAAGTTAAATAGTTTTATTGACTTCTCTGTATCAACCACCTCGGCGTGTGTATTCTTACTATTATTGTTATTATTATTATTGCTTTCCTAGTGCTATTATAACTTTCTCTCTATCTATCTAGGCGAACAACCTTTGCCCACACTAGTAAAAAATATTGGCAACCTTTTTCATGACCTTTTGCTGGGCATTCCCGTATAAACCAGAGAGAAAAATAAATAACTGTATCTAGATTTCTCCACTTTCCCCTTATTCACGCCTTCCCCTACCTCTCATATCGTAATTAATGTTCCCTATCATTAATAGCTCTGACAGCTGTGATAGCTCTCACACACTACTCGTTTTGTAAATGCTTTAATTATTAGTTTTTGCTCATTTTAATACCCTCCTGCTAATTCGCCCTATTTCGGGACATTCAGTTCTAAGTAAATTTGCAGTTAATGTCATCGTTGATGCGCAAGGACTTGAATTGCTTTGTACTAAGTAAATTGTATCTCACAAATCAGGTCAAATTAGTTTGCTAGCAGAAGTTTAGCAACCTAGGACAGCGATGCCCATTCCCTCTTTATAAGCAACGTGTTTTTCTAGTGGTATTCTACTTTTGTTGTTCGCCAGTTGATTTGAGCACTGTGCGCCAATACCGTTTGCTTAATAATATCGATTAATTTATCAAGTAATCAAGGTTCGACTTTTCACAATCTCTCTCTCACTCTCAAATTTGAAAACTGTTTCTGTTTGATGCTTCCAATGCTGGTTAAAAGAGTCAACTCGTTGGCTATTGGCATTCATGTAAATAAGCCCTCTGCATTACCAGTTGGAAATTACGGCTGAATTAAGTAGTTAACCAACGAGTTCACGTGACAAAAGCCATCATTTCAAATTATTATCAGTGATACAAAATTAAATATGGATACATATTTTTATTTCAACTAAAGGCGAATGGTATTAATTAGCCTCGTCCACGTAATGTTTGAATTGTTATTGAGGCTGAGATCTTGGTGGTCATTCTTGATGATTCACTTTCAATCAAACTATCTCGGTCCAAGATATTTTAGGAAAATATAATCCTATCAGAGTCTAATTAGTGGGAAATTCTATTGAATGCTACTTTTCTAACCGCGATGTACATATTCAATCAAGTACTTTCGATGTGCGGGTTGTGGGGCAGACTTGCCTCCACGTGGTGGACCCTGGGCAACGTGTATTCATATGCCAAAAAAGTCTATCAAATCGACAGGGGCTAATGATAAATATCATAAAGCCTGCCATTTAAAATAGCAACTTTCGATGTGCATTTTTATTCATAATTAAAATTGGTGGACGCTAAAAGTATGCATTGCTGAAGTACACCTACTTAGAAGTATGGTGGTTTAGTGTGTACTCCTTCCTTGTCATGCCAATTAATTATTACATTCTCATGTTTGTGAATGGGGCAATTTGAACTAAATTTGCTGGTATTCATCCACTAGCGTTTTCGTTTATAACTCCACGCTGATGGTTGGTAGAAATTTTGCCTTCTTTTGTTTCTCTTATCCTCGAGGTGTTTCTTGTTTTAATTCCTGTGCATCATGCCTCGGCGTCGTTTTCAACTAATTAGATTTGGTGTTAACTAAGGCGCACAATTTGCTATCCGCTTCCCCCCCCCCTCTCCACATTCTTTCACCATTTATTAAAGTCGTTATCCTCGCTTTTTCTCTGACAGTTAATAAGTACCGCTAGTTGGCATCATTTTCTTCCTGTAGTTCTTACAATACGGTTTGCTTCTGGTATGTTCTCCAAGCAAATTTCCGTCCCTTCGATACTACTGAAATAAACTTTGCACTTTACAATTTGATTTGATTTTCATTTCCTTCACGCACAAAGACTTCCGTAGATAAGTGTATTTGCTTCTCCCATATGCACTTAACATGACCTAAATGGTAGTATTAGTACTCTCTAGTTCAAATCCCATTATACTGTTAAATATACTCCCATCCTTTAAACGTGGTCGGTAAAAGGCTTATTATATACGGGCGTCTTCTTGCTAACCATTTCTTTTAAATATACTCTTTTCTCAATAAATGTTTCAATACTTATCCCATCTGCTCATGAACGGCTTATGCGTTTGTGAGTAGTATTGCCACCCCACCCCCTCGCCTCCCCCCAAAAGTACTTGTAGTAATTGCATATGTGCGTGTCTTGGTATGATAAAGTTTGCACAAACCTCGCTCTTTGAAGACTTGAACCCCTTTCCACGATAAATTCAGTTTTATCGGAGGCTGAAACGAAATTTCGGTTTTATCCCCTTTTCCCTTGTCCTTTTGGTGATTTCGTTTTCAGCTCAGCTTATGTGCTCTTGGCAA